GAAACCCCCTCCTGCGCTCCTCCACGCTGCGCTCCCCTCGCCCACTACAAAACAACAACAAAACTCCCGCCTCGCGCAACAAGGTCTCGGGCAGACTGATGGAGTCGTAGGAGTGCGAGCCCAGGGCGACACTCCTGCCTCTTAGTGCTCACCGTCAACATAAGTCGTAATGGCCAGTATCATACACAATATAAGTCGAAACTGTGTGTGATGATGTGCTGTGAGTGTGAAATGTGCTAAGAGAAGTCAAATGTGTGTGTGTGTCGTGTGTGTATGTGGTGTGAATGAGAAAAACATATATGTGAGTGTAGATAATGTGTGTGTGTGATGTATGTGTGCTGTGTGTGTGTGTGTGTGTGTTGTGTGTGTGTGTGAGAGTGGAGAGTCCGAGTGTGAGGCCTCTGCTGCGAGGCGACGTGGCGAGCGCCGGGCTCGTGGCCTCTCTAGTCTGGCTTTAGACTCTCTGTGCCTGCCTCCCCTCCAGGTCTGACGTCCCGGCCCTCCGCTCCCCCTCTCCGTCCTCCTCTCCTCCTTCTCACTACCCCACTACCCCTCCTCCTTTCTCCCTCCTCTTCTCCTCCTCCTTCTATCCGACTGCTTCCCCGTCCCCCTGCCCTCGAGACCCCGACGACCCTCTGCTCTGGTCTGACTTCCCCCTCGCTCAAAAGTCTAGAAGGAGCTGTACCTACTGCCCTACCGGAGAGAAGTTTTGTGTCGACCTGCGGTGACCTCTCGCTCCTCCTCCTCCTCCTCCTCCTCCTCCTCCTCTCCCTCCTCCTCTTTCTCAGTCCTAAGTCTTATAAGTTTGAAATAACAAAATGCTTTGTCATGGAGGTCGTATGAGCCTCCAGCACCAAGAGGAGTTTCAGCCTGGAGACGCGCTTCAGCTTCCTGAATCTGCGCCGCCCACGCTCCGAAAACGCCAAAAACTCAGACAAGTCTTCCAAGAAAGCCGATCAGACTGGGGTCTCCGTGAAAGGACTGTGAGGAGCCAACAGGAGGGTTTCTTGGATGGATGTTTGAGCCAAACTCTAAAGAACTGATCCACGAACGCACTCCATGTAGAGACTGCAGTGAAAGAGAGACGCTGAATGTCATGTAAGGTGTAAATAAAGTTTCCTGCACATCACGGCGGAGATTTCCCTCCCATTTCCTTCACGACGGACGAGGCACATTTGGACTCTGAGACTGTTGACAGTGCGTTGGTGAAGGAACTGAACGATGGTTCGTCTTTATTCATGTTATTTTATTGTTATTTGTTAAAAAGAACAAAGCTTCCGTCACAAGAAGGAAATGTACTTTAGCAGCCTGACCTTTTCACTTGGGGATCATTTTAAAAAGTGCTTTATCTATTAAATAATTGGTTTAGCTGTTAATGGAAATCGAGAATGTGTTGCTGTTGAATGGCACTTAGAACACTGTAAACCATGCAGAGGTGATGTTTAAGGAAATAAAGTCACATGTGGAGATGTTCAATAAATAACGTGTGTCTTAAACTGCTTAACGCTCCTGTAGTAAATGTATGTTGTGTTTTCTAAAGTTATGTATCTACTGTAAGTGTTCAGGTTTAGGCACTATAAATGGACTTTTCATAAAAGCTTCTTAAAGGAGAGTCTGGTAGTATTCACTTTGCTTACCCACGTTATGCCACCATGAGTAGTTTGATATAATTAGCAGTTTAAGTGTTAAATGGTTTGTTTGCGCTGGTTAATGTTTCAAACGGCAGCACTAAGGTAATTATTTTGGCAAAAAACAATCATGAATACAAGGCCATGGTTAAATGGTTCAATTGCCCCTTTCATTTCCTCTCCATTTGTATATATTTCTAAAAGCTGCTTTTATGAAGCATTGAAGAGTTGTTCCTTAGACACTGAGAAGTTTTTTTCAGCCTCTTCTCATCACGGTGCGTCCCTCAGGGCTCTGTGCTGGAGTCCCAATAAAATTAAAATAATAATAATAATGGATTGCATTTTTTATTTCGAGCGCTTTTACAGGTGCTCAAAGCACTTTACAATTGCATATTACACATATTAGACATTACTGTGGACATTACCCACAGGAGCCAATGTGGGTAGAGTGTCTTGCCCAAGGACACAATGGCCTGACGCAAAAGACTGTCATAGTGTAGCATGACAGAAAAAGTATGTAATAAACATATATTTTTTTTAATGGTAATCACACACACACACACACACACACACAGCAGACACACACATAATGCGCCCTGCTGACCGGACGTAGAGGTGTGTGTGTTTGTATGCGTGGGTGTAGAGGTGTGTGTGTGGTTAAAACGTGGCAGCCTGCGGTCGCTCTTTATCTGTTCTAATGGAGGTAAACAGTGAAGGCGGTGCGTGAAAGGCACAGCTCAGAGGCTGCCGTGTTACACGACCCGCTGAATTAGGTTTTCCTTCTATAAGCAGCAGATACCGACATGAATTCATAGATCAAGGCAGACTGGTTCATACACTCTCCTGTTTTGCGCGTAATAGCTCTACACGCTGGCTGAAATGTGCTCAAAATGAAGTCTGAGTTCTAAATATATCAAATAATTTATGTACTGTCATTTCCACACATAAACACAACAGTCTGGAATGAAATGGTGTTCTCCTGTGTGCTCCACTTCCTCCTCTGGGTACCGGTAAGTTTTTCGTAACTCATGCTAACTTAGACTTATTTTGTCATGTCCCTTTAGGGCCTCCAAATATCCCAATAAGGCCGTAGCTTAGTATGTGGAAAAAAATGACATTGGCTATATAGTATGTCTAAAAATTGGAGATGTCCATGTAAAGGGTGTGGAGAATATAACAAAAAAGTCAGAGAAAACTACAAAGTATTTGTGTTCTGCTTTAAAATATCAGAAAAAAAGCCATATTTAAGGGTCAATGAGTGTTGGTAGCTATCAAAATAAAAGCCCCTCCCATCCCCACGTAAACAATAACTCAGAAAACACATCAGATATCATTTCTGTATTCAGAGTTTGAACACGTCAGCCCCACATTTAGTGCAAGTTCTGCAAACATTACGTCATCATTCAAACATTCAAACAGGCGGCTGCCAGATTGTCCTGCATTTACACTAATATGGAAACAGAGAGAAATGGCATGAATGATAAGTGGGCATCAGACAGAAATACTTGGAAAGGTTCATTTAAAGCTATATTTCACTCATTTTCAGCAGAAGTTCAACAAACAGTCTTACTATTAATTAATGTTAACAGTAATTATGAATGAAAATGGTCACCATGCTCCCCAGCGACGCATTACTGTGTACCAGGTAGAGTGTAACACATACAACATCTGCAATACATCTTATACATGGTTTTTAAAAGCAAAAGCCAAAGCGATGGTTAACATAGTGAAATAAAAAAAATGGTGGATTATATTGTGAACATGTTTCTGTGATTTGTCCAGACTCAGTTTCAAATCATCAAAAAGTCAAATAATAAAACTTAAACCAGAAGTACAGGAAGTGAAAAAAACTTCACATTTGGCGCTAATCCTCTTCCGTCGGCAGCGAAGTTAAAGTATTATTTAATATGTTTTGAGTCATTAAATGAGCAAACATGCATCAGCTTCACCAACACACCTAGTTCCACGATTAGAAATGTGATAACGTGCTGCTTCTGAGAGTTTTACACCACTGTTATCTAACATTTCACTATGATGCAATATTGCTTGTGGACTGTTTACATTCACTTGGTTCAGCCCGTGAACACAGAACCACTTTGTGTGACGACATGCACCAACAAGCCCTCAAAGGAATCACAAAGCTGTGCAGCCTGCGGAGACTTTGCAAATGAAAGTGTAGAAAATGTAGATTTGAACAACGGCTGCTTCCACACGATGCCTCTCAACTTATATTAACAATAAACCGTATACAGCCGAACCATGCCGCCTCAGATTTCACTCAGCTGTAGTCGAGGAGTATATATATTGTGTAATTCTGTACACGAAAGAGTGCTGATTACGAGTCCAATGTTCTACGGATATAAAATAAGGTAGAAGTCACAAGGTGAGCTTTGCATTGAGGGAACAAAGTGACTTATTCACTTCCTTATGTTGCGTTTGACAAACCCACAGTGAGACATGGTTGAACGACGTGCTGTAAATAAACAGGTAAACAAAGGATGTGAACTTGTACACCTGTAGAAGGTTGATATCGACAATCAAACAAATGCTTCCACACACACACGTCCAGGTGTAACACACACACGTCCAGGTGTAACACACACACACGTCCAGGTGTAACACACAACATGTTACAGTGCTGCTGCTCCTGAGAATCAAGGAAACGTTAAAGGAAACCGTCAGTCCGTTCCTTCTCATAAAACTCTAAACAG